ATATCTCAGAAAGTTTTAACCTGTCAAGAGGAGTGAAACAAGGTTGTCCACTGTCAGCAAGTCATTTTCCCACACAACTTCATCTAAAATTGTTGAATGAGTTTCCAGTAGACAATATATATTATATTCCTTCTCTTGCCAGGCAGGCTCAGATTCATGAGGCGGCGGGTGCTGCTTTAGTGGGTCTCTGACCGCATGTATCTTTCTGTCTTGGCTACTTACTGTATCGCCTATAAAATGGATAAGGACTTGTCATTAGTGTGTGGGTCGCTCAGGTGGGTATCGGGTTGGGGACCGTTCCATCATGATAGGACGAATAAATAAATAAACTATATATATATATATATATATACATTTATGTTAAAATGTATATCCCATATCTGCACAAATTGTAAAGCTCTCTCCGTCACAACAACTGCTCACAGAAACACATGGGCTCTGGCATTTGCAACCATTTCCCTTTTTCACTTACTTAACTCACCACACTTTTCCTACGGAATTTCAGGCTTTTGAGTACTTTTGTGTTCCAGTTCCTTATATTTGAAGATGTATTATTTCAATAATTATCCTTTGTTCTAATGTTGTCTTTTATCTATTTATAAATACTATGAATAGAAAGTCGAATACTAATTATTTTACAACATTCCCTATCTTGAATGGTATAGTGTATTTGTAGTTTATTTCTTTATCAATTGTTGAATTTGATTGTTTTCCATGGATAGTATTGGGTGTTCCATTATTCAACTCCTTTATGGGAACTTTGTAATATTTAGAATAGCCATGTAGTAGTCTTGTTGTCTTAGAACAATCACTATACAGTTTATTGACGTTCATGTCTATTTTCGTGCCAGCGAGTCTTTTACACAGGCTTTTCACCATTAATTTATCTTTAAAGAATGCAAATTTGGCAACGATTGGGTGCTCATATCTCTGTCCGAAACGGTGTACACTTTTCGAGTTTGATTTTGTCGACAGTATCGCCTGGTATCTGCAGCGCTGTAAGAAAGAATACTTTCACCACACCCTCATTGTCTTTAATACCACTAAGCTCCAGATTTTCTCTTATAGATCTAGTCTGTATTTCAAGTAAGGCTTCTCTCAGAAACATGTTCTCCTTTATAAATTCATTAATGTCCGTTTTAAATAGTGTTGACTGTACCTTTTAGCTTGTTTTATTTCTTTCTCCATTGTCGCAGCTTTTTCATCTCGAGAATCGCCTCCTTTGTATCTTTACTGACTGGTTCATGTTTGTTTGCCCAGTTTATCATTTACCGACTTTAGCAAGTTGGTTTCCTGGTGGTGAAAAAGCATAAATCGTCTGTGTCCGTCACATTTTCTTTTGGGGATTAACTTACTCTCCGACATGTTTGGGTGTTGATTGTATTGGTAATATTGGTCGATACATTTCTCTAGCCTTATCATTTATTTTGTGTTGTTATCCAGATTGAAGGTTATTGCCCACGAGTACAGTTGAAGTCAGAAATTTACATACACTTAGGTTGGAGTCATTAAAACTTGTTTTTCAACCACTCAACACATTTCTTGTTAACAAACTATAGTTTTGGCAAGTCTGTTAGGACATCTACTTTGTGCATGACACAAGTAATTATTCAAACAATTGCTTACAGACATTGGGCCAAAGATCATACTTTCTGGAGAAATGTCCTCTGGTCTGATGAAACAAAAATAGAACTGTTTGGCCATAATGACCATCGTTATGTTTGGAGAAAAAAGGGGGCTGCTTGCAAGCCGAAGAGCACCATCCCAACCGTGAAGCACAGGGGTGGCAGTATCATCGTGTGGGGGTGCATTGCTGCAGGAGGGACATGTGCACTTCACAAAATAGATGACATCATGAGGAAGGAAAATTATGTGGACATATTGAAGCAACATCTCAAGACATCAGTCAGGAAGTTAAAGCTTGGTCGCAAATTGGTCTTCCAAATGGACAATGATCCCAAGCATACTTCCAAAGTTGTGGCAAAATGGCTTAAGGACAACAAAGTCAAGGTATTGGAGTGGCCATCACAAAGCCCTGAGCTCAATCCTATAGAAAATGTGTGGGCAGAGCTGAAAAAGCGTGTGCGAGCAAGGAGGCCTACAAACCTGACTCAGTTACACCAGCTCTGTCAGGAGGAATGGGCCAAGATTCACCCAACTTATTGTGGGAAGCTTGTGGAAGGCTACCCGAAACGTTTGACCCAAGTTAAACAATTTAAAGGCAATGCTACCAAATACTAATTGAGTGCATGTAAACATCTGACCCACTGGGAATGTGATGAAAGAAATAAAAGCTGAAATAAATCATTCTCTCTACTATTATTCTGACATTTCACATTCTTATAATATTGTGGTGATCCTAACTGATCTAAGACAGGGAATTTTTACTGGGATTAAATGTCAGGAATTGTGAAATACTGAGTTTAAATGTCTTTGGCTAAGGTGTATGTAAACTTCCGACTTCAACTGTATATGGAGTGAAGTGCTAATATTTAGTCAAATTTACAGATATTGAATGCTACGTTTTTATTTTGAGGTATTCTGTTGTGTTCAGTCGGCCATGACACCTCCCTTTGAGTCTTTCTGGGAACGTCTCTAAGAGCTTTGCACACCTGGATTGTACAACTTTTTTTATTTTTTTATTCTACAAGCTCTGTCAAGTTGGTTGTTGATTATTGCTAGACAGATATTTTTAAGTCTTGCCATAGATTATGAAGCCGATTTAAGTTAAAACTGTAATTAGGTTACTCAGGAACATTCAATGTCATCTTGGTAAGCAACTCCAGTGTATATTTGGCCTTCTGTTTTAGGTTATTGCCCTGATGAATTTGTCTGCCAGTGTCTGTTAGAAAGCAGACTGGACCAGGGTTTCCTCTAGGATTTTGCCTGTGCTTAGCTCCATTTAGTTAATTTTTTATCCTGAAAACTCCCCAGTCCTTTCCGATGACAAGCATACCCATAACATGATGCAGCCACCACCATGCTTGAAAATATGAAGATGTCACGGTTTCGGCCGAGGCAGCTCCTCCTCCTTGTTCGGGCAGGTTTCGCCGGTCGTCGTCTCCGGAGTACTAGCTGCCACCGCTCTGTGTTTTCTGTTTGACTAGTTTTGTCTGTTAGCCACACCTGTCTTGTGTTATGTCTAATTAAGCACCCTATTTAGTTTCCTTGTTGTTAGTGTAGTGTTGTGTGTAATTGTTTCGTGTTAGGTGTCATTTCGTACCTGTGTTTGGTACGCCTCTACTGTATTGCTTACTTCTCGGTTGAGAAGAGTTTTGCGCGCCTGTTTATGCGCGCTTGTAATTTACGCCTGTGTGCGTTTTGCCTCTGGCTGTTTTTGGATTATTGCCTCGCACTTTCCAGTAAAGATTATTGGACTATCAATCTGCTTCTGCACCTGATTCCACACCACACCATTTCTACACGGCCCTGACAGAAGAGTGGTACTCGGTGATGTACTGTGTTGGATTTTCCCAAACACAACACTTTGTATTCAGAACATAACATTAATTTTTTTGCCACATTTTTGCCAGTTTTACTTGAGTGCCTTGTTGCAAACAGTATGCATGTTTTGGAAAATCTTTATTCTGTGCAGGCTTCCTTCTTTTCACTCTGTTATGTATGTTAGTATTGTGGAGTAACTACAATGTTGTTGATCCATCCTCAGTTTTCTCCTATCACAGCCATTAAAGCGATGAAATCTGTTTTCAATGTAATGTAGCGTGCTCGGTGCGTCTCGTCTCTGAGCCAGGTAGCAATAGTTCGCACAACGCATAAAAGGTTCTAGGCCTTGCTTTGTCCCACCCTGGTCAACTGCATATCCCTGGAAAGCTTATGTCATTGGCTACAAGACTGTCAAGGTGCCATAGCAGCCAATCCCCTGTGTAATGGATGCCTACAGCGCGTAAGCAGGCGACATCATATTTTTGATGCGCAATGATATAGTCACTCGGTGGACATTCGATGTTGCCATTAAGTCATACATCATCAGATAACATTGGCAATGGGCCAGATGTGTTCCTACCAACCTAAGGAGTCATTTAATACCCCCCATGTAGCTGTAACTCAAACACAGACCAAATCGAAGCTTACCTTGTAAGATGTTTGTTGTTTGGTGAAAACGTTTTGACTCTCGGGGCTGGTGATCAATACCGGTAGGTCACAGGCAGACAAATAAGACATCCTCATGATCTGTGGCGTCCCGGCTTTCGGTGCGTATCGACGTATTCCGTGTTTGTTTCGTTTATGCTTCACAACGCTAACCGGAATGTAGGTACCATCTTGAAATGAGGTCATCGGCTCAGCCTGTCCTTATACATTCGTATGCCCATATATGGTAGTAAGTCACACCAAAGATTAACAGCCAAGATACTCAGCTTTCCGCAGACACCCTGCTTTTGCAGATAGGGGCTACCGTTCTCATACCAGACTGAGTTGAATAACACAATCTAATAGGGTCCCCAAATATGGGGACTTTACATTTAAGAGGTGAACTATTTAACTAACTATTTAGCTTATGGCTTGGGGGTAGGAGCTTTTCAGGTTGGTTCCAGACTTGGCGCTCCGGTACCGCTTGCCGTGCGGTAGCAGAGAGAACAGTCTATGACTAGGGTGGCTGGAGTCTTTGACAATTTTTAGGGCTTTCCTCTGACACCACCTGGTATAGAGGTCCTGGATGGCAGGGTGCTCGGCCCTAGTGATGTAATATCAAATATATCAAGAAAATATGTACGGTTTAATTTTAGAATAAAGCTGTAACGTAACAAAATTTGGAAAAAGTCAAGGGGTCTGAATACTTTCCGAATGCACCTTCCCACCTTCCCTCCCTCCCTCCCTCCCTCCCTCCCTCCCTCCCACCTTCCCTCCCTCCATTCCAGGAAATATTTATTTTAAACTTGGATGAACTAGATTTTATTGTGTCAATGGATAATTCTTGTGTGTGCTGCTATTGATAACATGTAATGTCACCTTATTTGAAATCCTTCTCCCTCCCTGTAGATATTGATGAGTGCCAGTCTGCCAGGTGCCACCAGGAAGCCGTGTGCTACAACACCCAGGGGTCTTTTACCTGCCAGTGCAGGCCAGGTTACTACGGTGACGGCTTCTACTGCTCCTCAGGTACGTCTCTGTGGAATGGAAGGCCATCATGGCTGCCTGTCAGGTAAAGACCTGGCTTGCTCTGAAGTCATTAACCATTTTCTTCATATTCTGATCCTTTCAGTCAAAATATATCTCCATTCTCATGATTACAGAATGTTTACAGAAGAGCTTGAACAGTAATGGGATAATGTTCCATAGCAACACCCCCCCTCTTCCTCCCCCAACATAGCTTTTACTGTTTCCACAGAGGGATGAGTAGATAACTGACACATTGAAACAGACCCAGACCTACTGCATCACCAGCCACTGATGTTCAGCTGTAGCCCAGGGGTCACCGGCTCATATCTGCCTGCCACAACTCTGATAGTAATAAATACATTTCACTTTGGCTACAGGGGATACTTTGTCAAACGAGACACACAATCCCTCTCTCTCTCTCTCTCTCTCTCTCTCTATCTCAATATATCTAAGATATCTCTAGATAAGGAGTTCATTCGCCTTTTTGTCTTCTCTCTCTCTCTAGATCTCTAGCTACTCTCGATCTCTATATCTATTCTCGGTCTAATATAATCTCTCTCGAATAGAGGTGCTCGCCAGCAAGAGAGATCTCTAGCTCTGTCTATGCTATCTCTCTCTCTCTAGTCTTATCTCTGCTCTCTCTCTCTCATCTCTCGCTTCTCTCTCTCTATCTCTCGCTCTCTCTCTCTCTCTCTCTTTCTTTTCTCAAAGCATAACACATTCCTATTGCTCTTGGAAAAGCATCATTCTTGGAAAAAGAAAACACATTCCTGCTTTGGAGAGGGAGAGAGAGAGAATCAAAACAGGGCTCAAACAGGGCTCATATGACGAGAGTGGAATGAGCTGGCTAGATCAAAGCCAGGCGGATTACAACTTCCAACAGTCACTCCCTACAGTAGCTACGCCAGCTATACACGTCCATAATGAATCTATAAAGCTCTGACAACACAGATCCTGCATGTACTATATTGATTGTCTTTCACTCAGAGGGGATTCTATATACCCATCTAGGCAGACTTCATCTTTAAGTCCTCTTTTTAATGTATTTCCTTCCGAGAGCGAACTAATAACCCAACTGCTGATGTAAAATTGCTTTATAAATAACTTTGATTGAACGATTGTTAATATATCCCTCCTTCCAGAGCATAAGAAGACAAAGTGTGAGACCCACAGAGACCGTCTCCTGGGCTCTGCAGAGTTTGGCCGCCAAGGGCCCCAGCCGGTGCCTGGTCAGTACGTGCCCACCTGTGACAGCCAGGGGGCCTACGAAGCCACGCAGTGCCACGGCTCCGTCGGACAGTGTTGGTGTGTTGACCGTAATGGACTGGAGATCCCAGGAACACGCTCTGGGACAAGCAGACCGCTGTGTGAGTTTATACTCTGCTTCGATTAAGAGGACAATTGACTTTAGTGTAAATCTATCAACAATTGGAGACTTGAGTGGTAATTTCCGTTAAGCAAACAGAGACTCAAGTCAGAATACCGCCCTTAGTGAATTACATGAATAAAGACTCAGTCACTGCATACGTTTAGTATTCAACGATTTACAGCTTTGGGAGAAGGTACCACTCTGACGATACAGTCAGTTTGTTCCCTGGTTGGTCCAACTCCCAGGCCTGATGTCCGTTGATTGATTGATTGATTGATTGATTGATTGATTGATTAATCTGTCTACTGCAGGTATAGAACAGGGTGTAGTTCGTCCCCCAGTGGGTCCTACTCCCAGGCCTGATGTTTACCCTCTACCCCCCGGCACACACCTGCTCTTTGCTCAGAGTGGACGCATCGAGTTTGTCCCTTTGGAGGGCTACAACATGAAGAAGACAGAGGCAAAGACTGTTCTGCATCTACCGGTGAGAAGTTATTGTTGTTGTTGTTGACAGGCCTGTACAGTGAGGGAAAAAAGTATTTGATCCCCTGCTGATTTTGTACGTTTGCCCACTGACAAAGACATGATCTGTCTATAATTTTAATGGTAGGTTTATTTGAACAGTGAGTGACAGAATATCAACAACAAAAAATGTTATAAATTATATAATGTCTTCTTCTGCTTTCTTCTTGCGTATTCTTATTAGTCTTCTTCTTATTCTGCTTCATTCTTATTTCTTCTTCTTCTTCTTCTTCTTCTTCTTCTTCTTCTTCTTCTTCTTCTTCTTCTTCTCTTCCAGTAACTAACTCTTTAGTGAAGGCAGTCATCTCTGTGGGGGGTCGAGACTGGATCTGTCTGGTTTGTGTTTAGTTGTTATGAGGTTACATACCATGTGTATGTTGTTTGGAATAGTTTGAATGCTGTTAATAAGTAGTTGAAGTGGGTCGGAGAGGGGGGGAGGGAGATTTTCTGCATTGTATGAGTTGTGCTTATTTCGGTAGTTGTAAGTCATGAGGTTTGTAGCAGTGGGTTTTCCTGTTGTCTTCTTTAGGATGTAAGGTCATGAGGTTTGTAGCAGTGGGTTTTCCTGTTGTCTTCTTTAGGATGTAAGGTCATGAGGTTTGTAGCAGTGGGTTTTCCTGTTGTCTTCTTTAGGATGTAAGGTCATGAGGTTTGTAGCAGTGGGTTTTCCTGTTGTCTTCTTTAGGATGTAAGGTCATGAGGTTTGTAGCAGTGGGTTTTCCTGTTGTCTTATTAGGATGTAAGGTCATGAGGTTTGTAGCAGTGGGTTTTCCTGTTGTCTTATTTAGGATGTAAGGTCATGAGGTTTGTAGCAGTGGGTTTTCCTGTTGTCCAAGCTGTAAGTCATGGGTTTGTAGCAGTGGTTTTCCTGTTTCCACGTGTAAGGTCATGAGGTTGTAGCAGTGGGTTTTCCTGTTGTCTTCTTTAGGATGTAAGGTCATGAGGTTTGTAGCAGTGGGTTTTCCTGTTGTCTCTTAACGCTTAAGGTCATGAGGTTTTGTAGCAGTGGGTTTTCCTGTTGTCCAACGTTTTGTAAGGTCATGAGGTTTGTAGCAGTGGGTTTTCTGTTGTCCAACGCTGTGTAAGGCCCATGAGTTGTAGCAGTGGGTTTTCCTGTTGTCCAACGCTGTTGAAGGTCATGAGGTGTTGTTGCTGTCTATGCAGTGGGTTTGTTCGCAACGCTGTAAGGTCTGAGGTTTGAGCCAGTGGGTTATTCCTGTTGTCCAACGCTTTTAAGGTCATGAGGTTTGTAGCAGTGCGGTTGTCCTGTTGTCCACAGCTGTAAGAGTCATGAGGTTTGAAGCATGGGTTTCCTGTTGTCCAACGCTGTAAGGTCTGAGGTTTGTAGCGTGGTGTTTCCTGTTGTCCAACGGCTGTAAGTAGGTAAACATGAGGTTTGTAGCAGTGGGTTTTCCTGTTTGTCCAACGCTGTAAGGTCATGAGGTTGTGTAGCAGTGGGTTTCTGTTGTCCACGGCTTTTGTAAGGTCATGAGTTGTAGCAGGGGTTTTCCTGTTGTCACAACAATGTGTATGTAAAGTATGAGTTGTAGCAGTGGGTTCTTTTCCTGTGTGTAACGCTGTGTAAGGTCTGAGGTTTGTAGCAGTGGGTTTTCCTGTTGCATACTGTAAGGTCATGAGGTTTTGTAGCAGTGGGTTTCCTGTTGCCACGCTGTAAGGTCATGAGGTTTGTAGCAGTGGGTTTTCCTGTTGTCCAACGCTGTAAGGTCATGAGGTTTGTGCAGTGGGTTTTCCTGTGTCCAACGCTGTGAAGGCAGAGGTTATGTAGCGTGGGTTTTCTGTTGTCCAACGTGTAAGGTCTGAGGTTTGTAGCAGTGGGTTGTCCTGTTGTCCAAGCGTGTAAGGTCATGAGGTTGTAGCAGTGGGTTTTCCTGTTGTCCACGCTGTAAGGTCATGAGTTGTAGCAGTGGGTTTCTGTTGTCCAAGCTGATTGTAAGGCATGAGGTTGTTGTAGCAGTGGGTTTTGTTTCCAACGCTGTAAGGTCATGAGGTTTGTAGCAGTGGGTTTTCCTGTTGTCCAAGCGTGTAAGGTCATGAGGTTTGTAGCAGTGGGTTTTCCGTGTTGTATGCTTTTTAGGTATGTAAGGTCATGAGGTTTGTAGCAGTGGGTTTTCCTGTTGTCCAACGTTGTAGTCGAGTGTAAGCAGGGGTTCTGTGCAAGTAAGGTTGAGTTGTAGCAGTGGGTTTTCCTGTTGTCTCAACGTGTAAGGTCATGAGGTTTGTAGCAGTGGGTTTTCCTGTTGTCCAACGGCTGTAAGGTCATGAGGTTTGTAGCAGTGGGTTTTCCTGTTGTCCAACGCTGTAAGGTCATGAGGTTTGTAGCAGTGGGTTTTCCTGTTGTCCAACGTGTGTAAGGTCATGAGGTTTGTAGCAGTGGGTTTTCCTGTTGTCCAACGCTGTAAGGTCATGAGGTTTGTAGCAGTGGGTTTTCCTGTTGTCCAACGCTTGTAAGGTCATGAGGTTTGTAGCAGTGGGTTTTCCTGTTGTCCAACGCGTGTAAGGTCATGAGGTTTGTAGCAGTGGGTTTTCCTGTTGTCCAACGCTGTAAGGTCATGAGGTTTGTAGCAGTGGGTTTTCCTGTTGTCCAACGCTGTAAGGTCATGAGGTTTGTAGCAGTGGGTTTTCCTGTTGTCCAACGCTGTGAAGGTCATGAGGTTTGTAGCAGTGGGTTTTCCTGTTGTCCAACGCTGTAAGGTCATGAGGTTTGTAGCAGTGGGTTTTCCTGTTGTCCAACGCTGTAAGGTCATGAGGTTTGTAGCAGTGGGTTTTCCTGTTGTCCAACGCTGTAAGGTCATGAGGTTTGTAGCAGTGGGTTTTCTGTTGTCCAACGCTTGTAAGGTCATGAGGTTTGTAGCAGTGGGTTTTCCTGTTGTCCAACGCTGTAAGGTCATGAGGTTTGTAGCAGGTGGGTTTTCCTGTTGTCCACGCTTTTGTAAGGTCATGAGTTTGTAGCAGTGGGTTTTCCTGTTGTCCAACGCTGTAAGGTCCATGAGGTTTGTAGCAGTGGGTTTTCCTGTTGTCCAACGCTGTGTAAGGTCATGAGGTTTGTAGCAGTGGGGTTTCCTGTTGTCCAACGCTTGTAAGGTCATGAGGTCTTGTAGCAGTGGGGTTTCCTGTTGTCCAACGCTTGTAAGGTCATGAGGTTTGGTAGCGTGGGTTTTCCTGTTGTCCAACGCTTGTAAGGTCATGAGGTTTGTAGCAGTGGGTTTTCCTGTTGGTCCAACGCTGTAAGGTCATGAGGTTTGTAAGCAGTGGGTTTTTCCTGTTGTCCAACGCTGTAAAGGTCATGAGGTTTGTAGCAGTGGGTTTTCCTGTTGTCCAACGCTGTAAGGTCATGAGGTTTTGTAGCAGTGGGTTTTCCTGTTGTCCAACGCTGTAAGGTCATGAGGTTTGTAGCAGTGGGTTTTCCTGTTGTCCAACGCTGTAAGGTCATGAGGTTTGTAGCACGCTTTTGTAAGGTCATGAGGTTTGTAGCAGTGGGTTTTCCTGTTGTCCAACGCTGTAAGGTCATGAGGTTTGTAGCAGTGGGTTTTCCTGTTGTCCAACGCTGTAAGGTCATGAGGTTTGTAGCAGTGGGTTTTCCTGTTGTCCAACGCTGTAAGGTCATGAGGTTTGTAGCAGTGGGTTTTCCTGTTGCTCAACGGTTTCTGGTTAACGTCCCAAATGGTATCCTAATCCCTAGTGCACTACCTTTGACCACGGCCCATAGGGCTCCAGTCTAAAGTAGTGCACTAAACAGTATAGGGAATAGGGTGCTATTAGGGACGCACCCCCTGTTTACTTTGACATTAAGGAATCATTCATCCGGTGCTATAGATTGTTATAGTTTGTTTTGGACTTTTAAGGACGTATTTAAAAATTCCACAACAGTTTGTGTTTATGTTTATTCTGATTCTGCTGTTACCAAGTCATTCCGCATCCTGGATGCATCCCAGATGGCACCCTATTCCCTATATAGTGCACTACTTTTTGGAACAGGGCCTAGAGAAGAGGGTGCCGTTTGGGAGCCACTGCCCACCATGTACATATGTATTAAAGGTCAATGACTGGGCTGTAGTAGGAGGTCTGCTCTTTAGATAAGTATTACACTGCTGCCAAAGTTTCTAACTCAGTGGTTTTACTCAAAGAAAATCCGTTGAGTTTGAATGGAAAAGATGAAAGAAAGATTCAGAAATGGAAAAGACTTGGTATTAATGAATGTAAAGGCAAGAGGCCGCCAGTTGTTTCAAAATATTGTAGTTGTAATCACGTAATACTTAAGAATCTCAGTCAATTCCTTACAGCATGGGTAGCATGTGTCAAACTGGAACAAAGCATTAAGACCCTTCAGATCAGCTTCAGGTTCTCTCTTGGTTTTCTCTCAGTCCGTTCCACTGCTGGTAGTGAGTCAGGTTGTTGTGTAGTTGGCCTGTTAGCTACTTCCTGTCTGGAGGGGAGGCCTGGTGGAGATCTGGTTTGCATTACACACACACACACAGACACACACACACACACACACACACACAGACAGACACACACAGACAGACATACACACAGACAGACAGACACAGACACACACACACACACACACACACACAGACACACACACACAGACACACACACACACAGACACACACACACACACACACACACACACACACACACACACACAGACACACACACACACACAGACACACACACACACACACACACAGACACAGACACACAGACACACACACACACACAGACACACACACACACACACACACACAGACACACACACACACACACACACACAGACACACACACACACACACACACACACAGACACACACAGACACACACTATATTAAAACCACATGCTGACATTTTCCCTGTAATGGTTCACATCAGTGCTGCCACACCAGTGGATTAATACCCAACAACATTCTCTGTTACACTGATCTCCCAACCAGCTGGCTTGAAGTGTGTGTGTGTGTGTGTGTGTGTGTGTGTGTGTGTGTGTCTGTGTGTGTGTGTGTGTGTGTGTGTGTGTGTGTGTGTGTGTGTGTGTGTCTGTGTGTGTTGTGTGTGTCTGTGTGTCTGTGTGTCTCTGTGTGTGTCTCTGTGTGTTGTGTTAAGGGGTTGCAGAGTAGAGCTGGACAACAGAGAAAACACAACATTTCCATCTGTAGCATGATGACCATAAACTAAACTAACATCAACCACTGTTCTGGTAGCTGACCTCTGACCTGTGTGTTGACCCCTCTCCAGGAGAAGGTGATCATTGGGGTGGCCTATGACTGCGTGGAGAAGATGGTCTACTGGACAGACATCACATCCCCCTCTATCAGCAAGGCCAACCTGCAGGGAGGAGAAACCATCCCTGTCATCAGCTCAGGTGACCAGGGGTTAGAGTTCAGTTCACTCTCAGATGCACCACATCTGTTGGTCAGGTCTGTTGGCTTGCTAAATTAGCTGGGTGTCAGTGTTCTAGAATGTGGTGTCAGCAATTAGTATTAAGTGCCTTGCTCAAGGGCATATCACCTAGTCGGCTCGGGGATTCAAACCAGCAACCTTTCGGTTACTGGCCCAACGCTCTTAACCGCTGGGCTACCTTCCTCCATCAGTGTTCTAGAGTGTGGTGCCAGTGTTCTAGAATGTGGTGTCAGTGTGCTAGAGTGTGGTGCCAGTGTTCTAGAATCTGGTGCCAGTGTTCTAGAATGTGGTGTCAGTGTTCTAGAGTGTGGTGCCAGTGTTCTAGAATGTGGTGTCAGTATTCTAGAGTGTGGTGCCCGTGTTCTAGAATGTGGTGTCAGTGTTTTAGAATCTGGTGTCAGTGTTCTAGAGTGTGCTCCCTTCTAAATTCAAATTTTTATGTTTTATTGACTGATGTCTTCCTCTCAGATTTGGAGAGTCCAGAAGGGATCACCATAGACCACCTGGGTCGAACCCTGTTCTGGACAGATTCCATGAAGGACCGCATCGAGGTGTCCTCTCTGGACGGGACCCAGCGACGCGTCCTCATCGACACGGACTTGGTCAACCCCCGAGCCATCATCGTTGACCCTGTCAATGGGTGGGTCACCATTGTAGATCAGTGCATCTCCTCGAGAAGGGATGGACTGGCCATCGGTCAGTTCGGGCAAATCCCAGATGTGCCGGTCCATTGTTAGCCCAGTGGGCTTGTCTATATGGATTGTGTTTAATTAATTGGCTAATAATGGGGGCCTTGAGGAAAACATTGGGATGGTGTGTTAGAATGGACCTATTTATGGTCCAGTCTGTCTCACTCCTCCAGTACCCATCTCTTCCAGTACATCTGATTCTACTGGTCAACTAATCACCAAGCCCTTCAGTAGTTGAATCAGCTGGGTCAGCAGACATCAGATTCTGTAAGTGGGGTACTGGAGGAGAGGTTTGGGAACACTGATATAGATAGATGTACCTCTCTGTGTTTAATGCCGTATTCACTACACTGTGAATATGAAGGGCTATAGGAATATGAAGGGCTATTCTACTTTAACTCTGGTATTAAAGTGCCTGTTTTGGCAGGAAAATCAGTATCTCAAGTTACAACACCATCTACTGTAAGACCTGTGTCTATATACAGTTGAAGTCAGAAGTTTACATACACCTTAGCCAAAGACATTTAAACTCAGTTTATCACAATTCCTGACATTTAATCCTAGTAAAAATTCCCTGTCTTAGGTCAGTTAGGATCACCACTTTATTTTAAGAATGTGAAATGTCAGAATAATAGTAGAGAATAGTAGAGAGAATGTTTTATTTCTTTCATCACATTCCCAGTGGGTCAGAAGTTTACATACAGTGGGGAAAAAATGTATTTAGTCAGCCACCAATTGTGCAAGTTCTCCCACTTAAAAAAATGAGAGAGGCCTGTAATTTTCATCATAGGTACACGTCAACTATGACAGACAAATTGAGATTTTTTTTCCAGAAAATCACATTGTAGGATTTTTAATGAATTTATTTGCAAATTATGGTGGAAAATAAGTATTTGGTCAAAAACAAAAGTTTCTCAATACTTTGTTATATACCCTTTGTTGGCAATGACACAGGTCAAACGTTTTCTGTAAGTCTTCACAAGGTTTTCACACACTGTTACTGGTATTTTGGCCCATTCCTCCATGCAGATCTCCTCTAGAGCAGTGATGTTTTGGGGCTGTCACTGGGCAACAACTCCCTCCAAAGATTTTCTATGGGTTTGAGATCTGGAGACTGGCTAGGCCACTCCAGGACCTTGAAATGCTTCTTACGAAGCCACTCCTTCGTTGCCCGGGTGGTGTGTTTGGGATCATTGTCATGCTGAAAGACCCAGCCACGTTTCCTCTTCAATGCCCTTGCTGATGGAAGGAGGTTTTCACTCAAAATCTCACGATACATGGCCCCATTCATTCTTTCCTTTACACGGATCAGTCGTCCTGGTCCCTTTGCAGAAAAACAGCCCCAAAGCATGATGTTTTCACCCCCATGCTTCACAGTAGGTATGGTGTTCTTTGGATGCAACTCAGCATTCTTTGTCCTCCAAACACGACGAGTTGAGTTTTTACCAAAAAGTTATATTTTGGTTTCATCTGACCATATGACATTCTCCCAATCCTCTTCTGGATCATCCAAATGCACTCTAGCAAACTTCAGACGGGCCTGGACATGTACTGGCTTAAGCAGGGGGACACGTTTCGCACTGCAGGATTTGAGTCCCTGGCGGCGTAGTGTGTTACTGATGGTAGGCTTTGTTACTTTGGTCCCAGCTCTCTGCAGGTCATTCACTAGGTCCCCCCGTGTGGTTCTGGGATTTTTGCTCACCGTTCTTGTGATCATTTTGACCCCACGGGGTGAGATCTTGCGTGGAGCCCCAGATCGAGGGAGATTATCAGTGGTCTTGTATGTCTTCCATTTCCTAATAATTGCTCCCACAGTTGATTTCTTCAAACCAAGCTGCTTACCTATTGCAGATTCAGTCTTCCCAGCCTGGTGCAGGTCTACAATTTTGTTTCTGGTGTCCTTTGACAGCTCTTTGGTCTTGGCCATAGTGGAGTTTGAAGTGTGACTGTTTGAGGTTGTGGACAGGTGTCTTTTATACTGATAACAAGTTCAAACAGGTGCCATTAATTCAGGTAACGAGTGGAGGACAGAGGAGCCTCTTAAAGAAGAAGTTACAGGTCTGTGAGAGCCAGAGATCTTGCTTGTTTGTAGGTGACCAAATACTTTTTTTCCACCATAATTTGCAAATAAATTCATAAAAAATCCTACAATGTGATTTTCTGGATTTTTTTCTCTCAATTTGTCTGTCATAGTTGACGTGTACCTATAATGAAAATTACAGGCCTCTCTCATCTTTTTAAGTGGGAGAACATGCACAATTGGTGGCTGACTAAATACTTTTTTTCCCCACTGTACACTCAATTAGTATTTGGTAGCATTGCCTTTAAATTGTTTAACTTGGGTCAAATGTTTCGGGTAGCCTTCCACAAGCTTCCCACAAAATATTGGGTGAATTTTGGCCCATTCCTCCTGACAGAGCTGGTGTAACTGAGTCAGGTTTGTAGGCCTCCTTGCTCGCACACTCTTTTTCAGTTCTGCCCTCACATTTTCTATAGGATTGAGGTCAGGGCTTTGTGATGGCCACTCCAATACCTTGACTTTGTTGTCCTTAAGCCATTTTGCCACAACTTTGGAAGTATGCTTGGGGTCATTGTCCATTTGGAAGACCAATTTGCGACCAAGCTTTAACTTCCTGACTGATGTCTTGAGATGTTGCTTCAATATATCCACATAATTTTCCTTCCTCATGATGCCATCTATTTTGTGAAGTGCACCAGTCCCTCCTGCAGCAAAGCACCCCCACAGCATGATGCTGCCACCCCCGTGCTTCACGGTTGGGATGGTGTTCTTCGGCTTGCAAGCAACCCCCTTTTTCCTCCAAACATAACGATGGTCATTATGACCAAACAGTTCTATTTTTGTTTCATCAGACCAGAGGTCCAAAAAGTACGATCTTTGTCCCCATGTGCAGTTGCAAACCGTAGTCTGGCTTTTTTATGGAGGTTTTGGAGCAGTGGCTTCTTCCTTGCTGAGCGGCCTTTCAGGTTATGTCGATATAGGACTAGTTTTACTGCGGATATAGATACTTTTGTACCTGTTTCCTCCAGCATCTTCACTTGGTTCTTTGCTGTTGTTCTGGGATTGATTTGCACTTTTCGCACCAAAGTACGTTCATCTCTAGGAGACAGAACGCGTCTCCTTCCTGAGCGGTATGATGGCTGCGTGGTCCCATGGTGTTTATACTTGCGTACTATTGTTTGTACAGATGAACGTGGTACTTTCAGGCGTTTAGAAATTGCTCCCAAGGATGAACCGGTCTACAATTTTTGGCTGATTCCTTTTGATTTTCCCATGATGTCAAGCAAAGAGGCACTGTGTTTGAAGATAGGCATTGAAATACATCCACAGGTACACCTCCAATTGACTCAAATGATGTCAGTTAGCCTATCAGAAGCTTCTAAAGCCATGACATAATTTTCTGGAATTTTCCAAGCTGTTTAAAAGCACAGTCAACTTAGTGTATGTAAACTTCTGACCCACTGGAATTGTGATACAGTGAATTATAAGTGAAATAATCTGTTTGTAAAGAATTGTTGGAAAAATTACTTGTGTCATGCACAAAGTAGATGTCCTAACCGACTTGCCAAAACTATAGTTTGTTAACAAGAAATGTGTGGAGTGGTTGAAAAACGAGTTTTAATGACTCCAACCTAAGTGTATGTAAACCTCCGACTTCAACTGTATAACACTACCATAGCAATCCTTTCATGCAATTTCAAGTCCTTAGAAACGATGCTCACTATCAAAAGCAACTGTGAGTCAGTAAGATATGTGTATGGGTATATGAAGAGCTATTCTACCCTAACTCCTTTGCATAGCTAGGCCTGTTATACAGGATAGCTTATATGCTACAAACGCCAAGATTTCAAGAAATGTGTACATTATCCAATTTCGTGTCAGTAAGATATTCACCGCTCTGTTCTTTCCACCAGCAACATGTACTGGGCAGACTGGAACCGCGACGCTCCTAAGATAGAGACTGCTGCCATGGATGGGACCAACAGACGAGTTCTGGTGAAGGATGACCTGGGGCTACCTAACGGACTCACCTACGACCCTCAGAGCTCTCAGCTGTGCTGGGCCGATGCAGGTACAGGGTTACTACAGATGAGGATGACAGGAGAAAAGCTTTGTCACTTTTTAAGTTCATGACCTTTGCTTTCATCTTATATCAAAGAACAGGACACTCATCAGATGAAGCCTGGGAGCCGTTTGAAGTCTCATTATTTATTACACTGGAATCGAACAAACCGTTAGGGCTCCCGAGTGGCGCAGCGGTCTAAGGCACTGCATCTCAGTGCTTGAGGCGTCACTACAGACCCCCCTGGTTCGATTCCAGGCTGTATCACAACCGGCCGTGATTGGGAGTCCCATAGGGCGGCGCACAATTGGCCCAGCGTCGTCCGGGTTTGGCCGGTGTAGGCCGTCATTGTAAATAAGAATTTGTTCTTAACTGACTTGCCTAGTTAAATAAAGGTTAAATAAAAATGAGATGTCCCTCAATAATGAGTGTAAAACAGCGTGTGATGTATAATATAATATCTCTGGTCTTCAGGAACCCACATAATGAAGTTAATAAACCCTTCCCAGGGTTAGTACAGTGCCTTTAGAAAATATTCATTCCCCTTGACTTAATATATAATATCATATATATCTCTGCCAACATCAGGTCTATTTAAGTCTTGGTCTTGGTTCCAATAGTTAATATTTTTTTCTAAGAGGTTGTCAGTTGGATCGGCTCTCTGCTCTCTGCAAGGGTTTGGTATATCTTCCCTATCATATGAATATACTTTTCTGACTCAAATAGGTTTCCCTCCACATTGCCCTGATGTCCAAAAGATTTCAGATTGAAATTTCATGATATAAAACATTTAAGTTGCATGTATTTGAAAATGTCTACATTGGTCAGTCCAAAATTACTTTTTAATTATTTCATGGAAATAATTGTATTTCCTATTACCAAGTTATTTATGGTTTCTATGCCTTTAGTGTTCAATGGGGACCAATTTATCGGTGCATTCTGATAAGCTATCCAAGGGTTGTGTTTTTACATTGGTTCTTGTAGAATCCGTTTTATTTTATTTTATTGTGTTCTAAACCAGCTCCAGCTATTGTTTAGTTAGCTATCCAGGTAGCAACAAGCTAGCTACATTTCGAGTACAGTAGCTACTAACTACCTAACGTTAACGCTTCAGATAATGAGGTTAGAAAAACAGCTGAATGGTAGGTAGCTAGCTGGCATAATTACAGGTACTCTTAAGCGTGAAATAACATTGGAAACAACTATCCACAGTTGCTAATAGTTACCAGTAGCTACCCGCTAGCTAGCTAGCTTTATTGGTCCAGGTAGTGGGTTAGCTAGCCTCGTGCTGAGTTGATGATGAGTTTCTCAGGTATCAAAGAATCAAGGATGCAAGGATATTTGAGTTTAATCTGTAGTTATTGGCTCTCTTCTAAGCTAAAAGACCATATTCCTGCTTAAATTCAGGAATAATTTGTTATACTTTACCTTGTAAAGATTTTTGATGCCCTTTCTCTAAGATAGTAATTTATTTTCATTTTTCATACATTTTAATTTCTAGCTCAGATTTAACTTTTGACGAGTATGAGATTATCATTCCCCTAATGTACACCTTAAAAACATCCCAAATTATGTCGGGGGTCGGCTTTTCTCTGTCCTCTATGTCTACATTTGTAATGGTAAAGGTCTTTGTTTTTTTGTTTACATATTTAATAAATTTCGGGTCTTTAAGATGCGCTCTGTTCATTCTCCATATTCTGTCGCTAAGTGTATTTCTGTTGGTGTAATTAAGCATGATACAGGAGAATGATCCGAAATCACTATATCATGGATTTTTTAACCCAGTATATTGTTGAGTGCATTTCTGAAGATTTTTTTGTTTGTTAATTCTTGAATAGCTTTTCTTACTTTGAGAAAAAAAGGGATAGTCTTTTGTATTTGGGAATAGTAATCTCCAGGTGTCCTGTAAATTATTTGTAGAGATGACGTTTTCCTGTCTGTGAACATCAACTAAAGTAAAGCTGCAAAAATGTGGCAAAGAAAACAGGATATGTGTTTTTGAATATTTTTATTCTGTAGAGGCTTCCTTCTTTTCACTCTGTCATTCAGGTTAGTATTGTGGAGTAACTACAATGTTGTTGATCCATCCTCAGTTTTCTCCTATCACAGCAATTAAACTCTGTAATGGTTTAAATGGTTCCTTCCTCTCCGCCAACTGAGTTAGGCCTGTATTTGTGACGCGTTTCAGGAAACTAGGCGTATGTCGCGCGTCACTACTTCCCAGGAGAGGCATTTGAACGTAAACTTTGTTTTTTTTATCAAAATGCATTTTTTTTGGCAGAAATGCCTTCTGGAACATGTGAACTTTCATGTGCCTTCATAGCAAAGTTGTATGCCATCTGTAAATACTAATAAAAGTGTTAAATTTTGAACCTAGTTGGTTTAGCCACAGAAAAAGACAGCAACCTTCCCGCTAGCCATGATTGGCTGAGATAATGAGTGGGCTGGACATGCCGAGAGATGAGTTTGGATTGGTCTGCCATGTAGCACGCTTCTGTCTATAACATGAGCTGGTCTGTATGTGTAGGTAATCCTTTCTTAAGCGGCTTTTTTGAACAATATCACGTAGTAGAACTGCAAAAGTGTTGCTCTCCACTTTCTGGAGGACCGAGTTTTGAAATCAGTGGAATTAGAGTATGATAGTTAAGGAGAAAATTCTGGCGTTTGATTGCAAATATGCAGACGGAGTCGAAAAGAGAACACACAGAAGGCTGTTGTATAAAACACCTGTCTCCGGATTACATCTTCAAACTAAGGGCAACCATGGCATCCGTGACAGAGAGGGAGAAGCGTCTATCCATGTATATGGGTAAGATAGTCTAGCAAGCTACATTTTCAGATATTACACGTTTCTAATTTTGTCAGAAAGTCGTTTTCATTTCAAGTTAATGTGTACTGTTAACTAGCTAGCTAATGTTAGCTGGCTGGCTCGCTAACTAATGTTACGTGTATGATCTGTGTGGTAATATTATTAGTATCTCAGAGCCATTTGCATTGCTAGTTATAGCCTAATGTTAGCTAGCTAACATTGAACCTGGTTGGTTAGCTACCTGCAGATTCATGCAGGGTAGTAACGTTATGAGTTGGGATTATGGTTCATTGTTTAGCTAGCTAGCTACATGTCTAAACAAAAGACTCAATGCAAGTAACCATTTCAATAGAATGTTCATGATGTCACTGTGACAACTGTCGATACACACAGCTGGTATATTCGCTCAATAACTGACAAATGTATGAACGCTCAAAACCCGTTGAATATGGCCGGTGTCAGTAAAAGTTGGCAAGAAAACGTAACTAAATTGTTGCCAGCAGCACAGTTGCAGTCACCAACGCTCTGGATAACATGAAAACAGCCTAACCAGCTCTGCTAGGGCGAGTAAAATGGTCAGAGTGAGCTGTTCTCTCATTTGTGTCTGGAAGTAGCTAGCAAGCTAGCCAACGTTAGCCAGTTAGCTTGGGTGCTTGACTGCTGTTGTTAGGTCAGAACGCTTGGATCAACCCTACTCCTCGGCCAGAGCGTCCAGTGTGCGCTCTGAAAGCTCCGAGAGCGAAACGCTCTGAATTTACGAATGGCCAATCTGACACGGGTCTGAGTTTACGAACGCCCAGAGCACACTATGAGCACACTCTGGCACTCCAGATAAAATGTACGAACACACCCCGTAGTATAAACCAGCCTTTAGTCTTGAAATCTTTGATTGTTTAGAACATGGCCTCACATGTGAATCCTTAAAGAGATGGGCGGGGCTAAGGCTTTAGAGGGTGTGAACGATACTGAATGGGTGTAAACAAAGAAGAGCTCTCCAGTAGGTACCAAAACATTCAAGGGCCATTTTCTCAAAAGTCAGGTTACAAGTTTATCAACTTTCAAAGCAGAATTACTTTCCCATTGTTCCTCAACTATAGTGTATGATATACAATTTTTCTAGCTCTGAGCCGCTACTTTTTTTCGATTTTCAAATTTTGCTACATAAGCCGGTCGGTCACATTTTTGTAGTGACTGAATGTACACCATCCAAAGTGTAATTAGTAACTTCACTATGCTCAAAGGGATATTCAATGTTTTTATTTTTAACCATCTACCAATAGGTGCCCTTCTTTGTGAGGCATTGGAAAACCTCCCTGGTCTTTGTGGTTGAATCTGTGTTTGAAATTCACTGCTCGACTGAGGAAGCTTACAGATAATTGTATGTGTGGGGTACAGATATAAGGTATTCATTCAAAAATCATGTCAAACAATATTATTGCACACAGAGTGAGTCCATGCAACATACTTTGTGACTTGTTAAACAATGTTTTACTCCTGAACTTATTTAGGCTTGCCATAATAAAAGGGTTGAACACTTATTGACTCAAGACATTTCAGCTTTTCATTTTAAATTAATTTGTAAAAACATACATGTAATTCCACTTTGACGTGATTGGGTATTGTGTGTAGGCCAGTGACACAGAATCTCAATTTAATCCATTTTAAATTAAGGCTGTAACACAACAAAATGTGGAAAAGGTCAAGGGGTGTATACTTTGTTAAGGCCCAGTATATAATATGTATTCTCTTGTCTTCAGGAACTCACATGATAGAGTGTATGAACCCAGTGCAGGGAGACAGGAGGAAGGCCATGGAGGAGATCCAGTACCGTTTGGAATCACCTCCTATGGGAAGAACATCTACTACACTGACTGGAGGAGGTAGACAGGATCTAGACATAACTATCATAAACTCTACTACCGATGAGGAGGTGACAGGATCTAGACATACTATCATAAATTCTTAATACACTGAAGGAGGAGCCTGGTAGGATGGATCCAGACAAACTATCCATATATCTCTAACTGACTGGAGGCGGTTAGACCGGCTATAGACCATACCTAGTTCAAATATTTACTACACTGACTGGAGGAGGGGTAGACAGGATATAGACATAACTATCATTAAATCTACTACACTGACTGGAGGCGGTAGACAGGTGACGGATCTAGGGACATAACTCTCATAATATCTACACACTGACTGGAGGCGGTAGGATGGATCCCAGACATAACTATCATTACATATCTACTAAACTGA